GTAATAGTAATAGTAATAGTAATAATAATAAGTGTGAGGAAGGCTATCTTGGATCAGTTCAAAACAAAAACAACACATTCAAAATCTGACTCCTCCAATGGACAATCTGAACACATTGATCAAAATCATAGCATGGCAGTGCTTTATTTATCTCATGGCCACATGTTATTGTTTTTACGTGGCCATGAGATACAATTTTTTCTCATCCAGTGTCACTGCACAGTCACTGTACACGCTGATTTATTTTTACATTAATGTCAAAAGTTATGTTGGAGACAAAGGTTGTATGACCAAGACCCTGTTTATTTCATGTCAGTTTTAGGTAAAACTGCAGTATTTCTGAAGAATTTTGGCCATTTCTATACACAACAACAGCAATTGTTTTGTCTGACAATGAAGGTTTTTGAATGTTGAGTGTAGGTTTCTGGCAACACTTGGCATCGATGTGAAATTACACATGCACGTAAAGTACTTGAAAAAAAATGACTAAGTAAAAGTAAAATTACATGAACAGAAAATGACTGGTAAAAATAAAATTCAGTGATGAGAAAACTACTCAAGTAAAAGTCATAAAACTGTTCACAAAAATTGAGAAAGTAAAATTAAAAGTAAAAGTACTTTTACACACTCTCAAAGAAATAAACTGTTGAATTTACTGAACCAAGCTAGTTCTACTAACTGGGTTGAGTAAATTGAGCAATATATGTTTATTCTTTGCTCAATTTACTCAAATACTGTAGGCTTAGTGGAGCCAGTTAATATGACTTTGTTGAGTAAATTCAACACTTCATTTTTAGAGTACAGAAACATATTTTTTCACGATGAGTTCAAACGTATATTTTAAAATGAGTAATTGGGGGTTAAATTTTAAAGTAAAGAAGTAAAAGTATCATTTTAGCTTTAAAATGTAACAAAATAAAAGTAAAAGTAGCTATTTAAAAATAGTTGGTAAAATTACAAATCCTCAAAAAAAAAACTACTTAAGTACTGTAATGAAGTAAATGTACTTAGTTACTATAAACGGACGGCTGCAGTCAACAGTTTTTCTGCGCTTGGCGAGATAATGAACAGATTAATGGCAGATAGCAGAGTGCCGTTTGTGCTGCTCACCSTTTTCAATATGTAGGCGCAAACCAAACTCATCCTCGGTCCAAACAAACATTTGTGTCTTTCTCAGCTTGGATGAAACCATTTTGATGCTCGAGACTGAYGTTTCTGCACTTATACTGTTTCCTTGAAATACAAAAATCACAGCACCAMCAAGCGATAGAAAACTACAGCAGATTCAATGACCAACTTTTTCACCATTGGAAAATGCTAATGATTCCAAAGATCACTCACATGTAAACAGAGCCTAAAAAAATAAATAAATAACACCTTTCCAACTGTTAGGCATGGTGGTGGCTTATTCGTGCTCTGGGCTTGGCTTGCAGCTACCGTTTCACACAATAAGAGATAAAAAAAGAAGAATCTACAAAGGAATCTTCCATTATGACATTTCACCGCACCATAAGGCTCTAACCACATGTCTTAATGGTCTTTACATTTCACTGAAGTGATAACAAACATCAGAGCTTTTTAGATGGTCCAAGATTATCACAAAACAAGCAGTCATTTAAAAAAACTAGCTTAAAGCAATAACTTTCTTACTTTGTTGTTGACAGTAACATCTTTAATCAGGGCAAACAAATTTCATCATTCAGAAGAAGACAACATTAAAGAAACAAAGAGGATGGTTCTTGTACATGGACAACAACAACATAACTAATAATCATGCTAAGAGAAGAAATAAGGCTAAAAGTAATCAGGTGATATGCGTGCAGGAGGACCACCTAATCTGTTTGCCTCCGGTGAACAGATTACGTGCTTTTCTGGGCTCAGACACGGGTAAGTAGTGAGAAGATGCCGTCCAGCTCCGGTACTAAGACTCTAATCTCAGCATTAGCTAAAAGGTGGTGTAAGTTGACAGGGGAATTGATGCAAAGCCTTAAATCCTGTCCTTGAGCCAATTAAGWTGAGCTGCAGTGCTGTTTAAAGGGCCTATAAATGCAGTTTTTCAGTAACGCGCTGTCACAGAGGCAGGCGCTCCCCCAACAGACGGCAGGAAAAACATGAAGTATCACACTGCTGTTTAAGATTAGACTAAACTTTTCATTTATATTATATAATTTCAAAACAAAAACCTTTTTTTTTTTGTGGTTTAACACACACCCGAATAAAAATGAGGGGAAATCGTATCGAGGAGTACCCAGACGACTTCTGGATCCCCATCCCTCTGGAAACCAACAACATCACCGCCCTCAGCCCGTACCTGGTCCCACAGGACCATTTAGGAAGCAAGGCACTTTTTTATTCACTGTCAGCATTCATGTTCGTTTTGTTTGTGGCCGGAACAGCCATCAATGTCCTCACTATAGCATGTACTGTTCAATACAAGAAGCTGCGCTCTCACCTGAACTACATCCTGGTCAACATGGCCGTGGCAAACCTCTTTGTTTCTTGCGCTGGCTCTTTCCCCTGCTTCTACTGCTTTTCCTCCAGACATATGGCTCTGGGTCAACTGGGGTGCAAGATCGAAGGGTTCGCTGCAACTCTTGGTGGTAAGAGTTGTAATCACAACTGTGTATCTTTTTAAATAAGAAGGGAAGGTTTACATTGAATGACAGCAAATTAAGTCTAGACATTGAATTCATTCTTACTGCTTGTTTTTCAGGTATGGTGAGCCTTTGGTCTCTTGCTGTGATTGCATTTGAAAGATGGCTGGTTATCTGTAAGCCACTTGGGAACTTTACCTTCAAATCGGAGCATGCTATATTCTTCTGTGGACTGACTTGGTGCTGTGCAATGAGTGCTGCACTTCCTCCTGCAGTCGGATGGAGTCGGTGAGTACACGAACAGAGAGTAAAAATCATTTTATTAACCAAGACGAACAGTTTTATTGTGAAGAATGAATCACTGTTGGTCTGACCAGGTATATTCCAGAGGGACTGCAGTGTTCGTGCGGGCCAGACTGGTACACAACAGGCACCAAGTACAACACAGAGTCCTACGTGATGTTCCTCTTCTACTTCTGCTTTGCCGTCCCTTTCTCTTGCATCGTTTTCTGCTACTCGCAGCTGCTTTTCACGTTGAAATCGGTAGGAAATGTATCACGACTGGGCACGGTTTTAGGTCAAGATATGTAGCGTTATGAAAATATTTGAAGTATCATCTCATCTTACTTGCTTTATGGACCRTTAATGCTAAGTCTGGCAGTAAATTTGTGTCAACAGGCAGCAAAGGCCCAGGCTGAGTCCGCCTCCACCCAGAAGGCAGAAAGAGAGGTGACCAGGATGGTGGTCGTCATGGTGCTGGGCTTCCTGGTGTGCTATTTGCCATATACCTTCTTTGCTCTTTGGATCGTCAACAACCGCGGCCAGACGTTCGACCTGAGACTCGCAACCATACCATCCGTCTTCTCTAAATCCTCCACAGTCTACAATCCCGTCATTTATGTCCTCCTTAATAAGCAGGTGGGCCGACGCAAAGGTTTTCAACGTTTTAGCTGGAAGGAGATGGACGCTGTAACGTCGTGCTGCTGTTGAAGCACGTTTTAAAATGAACTAAGAACCAGCTAACTGAAAATGGGATCATTTTTATTTAAAACAACCACTCACATGTTCATCATTGCCCTCTACTGGTAGTTTTATAATGCAATAAGTTCTTCATTTGGCCATTGCAATTAAGTATAAAATATAGACAAAATAATCTACTTCTAATACAAATTGAAATTAATGATATGCAGATTTACGACAGAGTATTAGGTCCACACAACGAGATTTTTTACATTTTTTTAATTACGAGAATAAAGTCATAATATTACAATATTAAAGTCATTTGGAAATAAAGTCATAATATTATGTGAATAAATTTGTAACATTATGAGATTAAAGTCATAATATTATTTTTTAAAATAATAAATTAATAATAAATTTAAAAAAGTCATAATATTCTAAAATTAAAGTTGTAATACTAGTCTATACCCTTTGMAAGAAAAGGCATGCAGTTACCACTGCTTTAAAATGAGGAATGTTGAGCAACTTGTCACGTTGTTCTTTAGTGTTGCTATAAATAAATAGTTAATCTTTTGGCACATTAGCATCAAATTATTAGTAGCAGGACTGTGAAATTGTGCAAATGACTTATATGATAAACAGAAGCGTGCACTGACCAATTTAGTCGGCACATAGCTAATTTGGATGGAAGCATATTAATCTAACAGTGACCCAAGTCATCGTGGACTGCTTTATGAACAAGGCTGTCCACAGCAGGTGTGATGAAAATGAAGAAATGAGGGATGAAAAATGGACATACCATGTAAGATTATGACTTTTTTCCATAATATTATTACTTTATTCTCAGAAAATTACGACTTCAATCTCGTAATGTTATGACTTTATTCTCAAAAAATTACAACTTTAATCTCGTAATATTATGACTTTTTTGGAATATTAAAACTTTAATCTTGTAATATGACTTTATTCTCACAAAATTAGGACTTTAGTCTCTTATTACTATGACATTGTTCTCGTAAAATTACCACTTTAGTCTTGTATTATTATGACTTTATTCTTGTAAAATTACGACTTTAGTCTCGTAATATTATGACTTTATGCTTTCAAAATGACAACTTTAGTCTTGTATTATTAGGACTTTATTATAATAAAATTACAACTTTAGTCTCATAATATTATGACTTTATTCTCGTAAAATTACAACTTTAGTCTTGTATTATTATGACTTTATTGCCGTAATAATAATTTAAAAAAATCTCATTGCGTGGCCGTTGTACAAATTAAAGAACTATTTTTTTTATTGTTGCACAAAAAATTAGCTAAAGTGAGAATTCTGAACTGAGAGATGCTCTCCAAACCCATGACATGAAAATGAACTAAAGTGTTAATTTTTTTCTGTCTTTCAGTTCCGTTCATGTATGAAGAAGATGTTGGGGATGAGTGGAGGCGACGAAGAGGAGTCAACTACGACCCAGTCAGTCACTGAAGTCTCGAAAGTTGGACCCTCTTAGGTTTCCTCTGCACGGATGGAAGGGAAATGGCTCAAACACTCGATGACACAAATGTATTTTTACTGTTCTTATAAATAGGTTTTTGCAAAGAAAAAAAGTAAAAAAAGAGATAAAAAATGAATTATCCAATGAAGTTATTATTTATCTCAGTTACTTACTGTACAGGACCATGGGCATGAAACACCACCGTGTTTTTAGTCTTGAATTTTCAACTAAAGATTGAATTTTTTTTAAACAACTGAGGTCAATGAAACCCATAAAATACACAAGAAATGCTTGTAGTGCATCTGACACCTCTGTGAAGATGTTGTCCTACATGTCATCACTTTTAAGTATAAACTGTATATATGTAGTAAAAGAGAATTAATAAAGAGATATCTGCTTTGGGCAAAAAGAAAAACCATGCTACGTAGATCAACTCTTATGTGTGCTGGGCTCGTGAGACTTTCTGCATATCTCAAATGTTTCTGGTCTGGCAGAGCTGCAGGTTTTCAGTCAGGTCCTCTGGAAGGGTTCTCTGTTCAAATGCTTCGTCTTTTGGGTTTAGGGTTGTAGGGATTTGTACCTACAACTTCTCAAAACTGAAATTGTGAGGAAAATCACGAGTTCTTTCTGTGTAAGGAGTAAATATCCTTCTGTGTAAATATGAGAATACCACAATGAGGTAAAGTACCCAGTAACTTAAGTTTTTCTAAAACAAATGATTTTCATTTACAAAATCAAATGAATTACTAATGTACAGCTTATTGTGAACAATAAAAATTTTGGTGAGTTAAAACAACAAAAATATGCATGTGTCCACACAACTAATGTCAATATTACAACTTTAACAGGAACAGCAAAACTTCATGTTTAAGATCTTGATAAACCAGATGTTTTCAGGCACATGAAACTTATATGGCAAGGTTTAAGCTTAAGAAAAAGAAAGAAAGGAAGGTTCGTTCTAATATTTAGCTTAATGTTTTAGCTCATCAATCTGTGAAAAACCAGAACAAACACTTTGGATCTCTGCCGACGCTTCAGCCCAACTTCGGTACACTTTGYCAAAACGTCCTGATGCATCTCAGTAATCCAGGTAAAAAATCAAAAAGAAAAAAATTGTATAGGTCTTCTGGACGGGTTCTTTTCTAATGAAATGTTTCGTCTCTCCTCCAAGAGACTTCTTCAGTCTGAGAGTTTCAGGCAAAATTCAGGCTTTTAAGCCCTGCCTCCATGTGACTGATACTCACATCACATGGCTATYGTTGACACCTAATTAACACCTATTGTTAACAGGGGGTGGAGTGATACTGCCAATGGCAGCACTGTAGGAGGGGGACAACTGAAAACGGAGGCCTCCACCTCTGTTTAAAGATGGACGGTCTTTCTTCACAAAAATGGCTTCTTTTACTCCTCTCTCAAACCAACGTTCCTCTCTATCAAGAATGAGAACATCCTCATCTCTGAAAGAGTGACCGCTGGCCTGTAAATGAGTGAAAACTGTAGAGTTCTGGCCATTAGATGTAGCTCGTCTGTGTTGGGACATTCTTTTGAACAGTGGCTGCTTTGTTTCCCCGATGTATAACTGGTCGCAGTCCTCCTGGCACTTAACAGCATATACAACTACTATACTTTGTCAAAACATTTAGCTTTACTTCCAGAAAAACGTCCAAAGTTTTGCTTCACAGCGTCCCCAGAAATCTGCTTCTGTCCGTTGGAGGGAGCCAAGGTCCGTTTTAGGTTTTTCTTTCAAAACAAAACACTTCTCATCAGAAGTTTCAAAACTTAATTGAGCTTCAAAGCTGGGTTGAATCACTACTCATGGTGTCGTGACTCGATAGGCAAAGACTTGCTCATAAGAGTCAAATCAGTGCCAAAGGCTGATTTTCCTGCGAAGGAATTAACAGCTTAGGGAGACGTAAAAATGGTGTCTTTCCTGGTCTCTTTCTTTTCTCTCTCTGTCGAGGCTTGGTTCCAGGGTTAATTTCTAAAGAGAAAGAGCKAGGAACGTGACCTCGACTCTTGGTTAGTTGCAGACAGAATGAAAAGTTTAGTCCAGGATATTGCCATAGGTCTGTAAAAACATCTTACACCTGCTCAGAAAAACAAGTTCAGACTTTGACAGGATTAACACTGAATGAAAAATGAACTAAAGTTCAATGAAATATAAGATAATTATTTAAATTAATAATAATAATAATACATTTTATTTCAAAGGCGCCTTTCTGACACTCAAGGACACCATACAAAGAGTAAAAAGTAACAGAAACAAATAAAATGTAACAATAAAAATAGATAAAAATAAAAAACAATGTATCTATATAAAATCTATGTAAAAATCAGGCAAACCAATTGTGTCATGTGGAAAAGGCAGATCTAAAAAGGTGTGTTTTGAGTTCGGTTTTAAAATGAAATAAATCTTAAAATATTTGTCTATGATTCAAATACAAATATTTTTATACATAAATATATTTCAAAATAAAACATAGTGAACTCAATCATAATGATCAATTTAGTTAAATTGAAAAATAAATCAGAAAAACAACTTTACTGTCCAATAACAGTTGATTAAACAAAGAGTTGTGTAAAACAAATAAAGAAACATTGGAACAATATTCTTTTTGTATGTTTTTCTTTTTCTTAATTATAATGCAAGAAGATAGATTGTCATTCTTTTCATTATGTAACTTTGATTTATAAAATGATAATAACTTGTAGTTAAAAGGAAGTATAAATCAAAATATAAAGAAAATTATTATTTTGTTTATTAAAGAAAATAAAATGTCTCTTTTGAGGAAGGTCTTTTTAGATCAGGGTTAAAACAGGTGGAAATGTCCATCCCCCTCGGGGTAACCCTTACAGGGTGTTACAGACAAACTGGTTGATTCAYTATTTGAAGCTAAAAGGCTGAGTTTACCTGCTCCTCAGACTGATGAAGTCTTTTGGTTATAAAAAGAAATGTTTCAACAAAGAAGAACTTATCCAAAGGACTTCACTATACCTAGATTATTAAGAACGCATCAGGACATTTTATTCTTAGTCTTTTTTTCAAAATGAAAAAAAAAACCACTTTGCACAAACAACTTTGAAATCTCAGCTGTGTTTCATAGTTTGACCGAGCTAGACCCCAGATTTGTGCTAAACTTGTGTTGGGTTCATATTAAAAACATTAAGGGACAAAACTGAAGCAAGCAAACAAAGCTGTGACGCTTCAGCTTCGCCCCAGATCATTTTAAAGTTATTTTTGCATTTTTTTTTCTCTGCTGCATGTGCCTGCCTACTCCTCAAACAAAACTGAGTTTTGAGGAAAAAATCAGATTTCTAAAAACACGAAACCACCAACAACACGTCCGCTTTGTAGACTTTTTTTGCTTTCCCAGAAAGCAAATAAATAACAACACACATGTCAACATGTACAGATTGTCCGTAAGTTATAAGGATTTTACATCACTTTGCAGGTGATAGGTCAATCTCACAGATTTTTTTCAGGTCTTACAGATTTTTTCAAAACCTCATTTTCAAAATTATCTAACATGTCAGAGCCTGTAGGATGATAAAAAAAAAATCAAATAACATTAAAAAAGCCATCTTCCAACCTGTTCTGCTGGTAGAATTAAGTTTTGAACTTTTCCACTCTCTTCCTGCTTCGCAGCGTGGCTGACCCCCCACCCCCACCGGAGCAGGACGAGTCAGAGCAACGTCAATCAAATGAGAGAGAGGGTGGGGGCGATTGCTGCATTGGGGGCGGGATGTTTTATGGGTAGTTTATTTTTCCTATAATACTTCATTATACTTTTTTAAGACAATGCTATTTGAAAGGGGCGCTGAGCAGAGTTACAATCAGGGATTACAAATGATTACTTTTTTCTCCTGCAGTTTGGCGCCTCCTCCAGCAGATGGCACTCTAGGCGACCGCCTAGTTCGCCTATGCCAAGAGCCGGCTCTGCGGCCAAACATTAGTGATTGGGTGAATCAGTTCCTATTATTTTAAACTTCAACAGAGTCCACTCCTCCAGCAAGAAATCATTTCTCAATAGCTGAGGGTCCAGACCCTCTGTATGAAGCAAAGTGAAGAACAAGGGGCTGGTTTTACCAGGCTACAATAACCTATGTAAATTTAATTTGTTTTCCACCTCTGGGTACAAAATCCTAACAGACAACATCTCTTGATTCAAGTTGAAACAAATCACAAAAAGGTAAGGACTCCAGAATTTTTATTTATTTATGTTCGTCCTCATTATTTAAATGTTCCTGGAAGAAAGGAAACCAAGTAATAAAACATTTTATGTGTTATTATGTCCAACTGATTTTTGTCATCATTATTGGTTATCAATAACTATTATTCATTGTTTCAAAGACTATAYGCCCACATTCTTTCATTGGTGACTGATCAGAGCTGCAGGCAGGTCAGTTCAGACCTTTCTTCTGCTTTATGCATCAGTGAATCAATGCTGGAGCCAATAACAGAGCGAGCCTCTTTCTAAATATAAATTCACCAATTAAAATAACATTAAGTTCTTGATGAGTTAATAATGAAAACACATATTACAACATAAACCACCACTCAGAACCTCGTTTGCACAAACACACACACACAGACTGGTTAATCGTGCGTGAAGTCGATCCGCCTCCTCTGAGCCACCTAGTGTGTGTGTGTGTGTGTGTGTGTGTGTGTGTGTGTGTGTGTGTGTGTGTGTGTGTGTTTGTTGTGGTGGAATTAGAGCAGCAGCATCAAGAGGTCAAACATCCTTTTAAGGCTTCAGTCGCATCTGATGTTTAAAACAGACTCAAAGAGCTTCATCTGCTCAGTTGCCAAAACCATAAACAAACAAACAAACAAACAAACAAACAAACAAACAAATAAATATGAAAACCAAATTAAATT